GAGGGCAGTGTCACTGGCCCTCATATGTGGGATCCGAACCGGGGCCCTCTGGCATCCCAAGCGAGTTCTTAACCATCGCGCCACTCGGCCGGCCCTCTTGAATTTTTTTATTGTAATAAAGTATATATAACATAAAATTTCTGATTTAAATAATTCTTTTTTTTTTTAAGATTTTTATTGGAGAATTGGGGGGATGGGAACAGCGCTGGGGAACTCCGGGAAGGGGGACAGACAAGTTGCTGTCGCCTTGTTCTTCAGTCTAGTTGTGGAGGACACCGCCCCACCGGCCCAAGCTGGCACCACTATTGCGCTCCTCCCGGGCGAGGCACACCAGTTGCCGGCCTCTGGATGGCCGCCCACCGGCCGCCGGCCACACACGGTAGCCCATGACAACCCACTGCCACAGGGGCCGCAGCCCACACCATCGCCGGCGACTCATGGCAGCCCAGCTCCAGGTTGAGCTGTTGTTCAGCATCTTACCTGTAGAGGGCAGTGTCACTGGCCCTCATATGTGGGATCCGACCAGGGCCCTCCGGGGTCCCAAGCCAGCTCCCAACCATCGCGCCACTCGGTCGGCCCATGATTTAAATAATTCTTAAGTGTACAATTCAGTGGCATGAATTTCATTCACAATGTTGTGCAACCGTCACCATTTCCAAAATCTTTTCATCACCCCAAATAGAAACTCTGTACCCATTAAGCAATAACTCCTCATTCCTCCCTCCCTCCCTCCAGCCCCTGGTAATCTCTAACCTATTTGTGTCCATGAATTTTCCTTTTCTAGATATTTCATATAAATGGAATCATACAATATTTGTTTTTTTTGTGTGTCTGGTTTCTTATTTCACTGAGAATAATGTTTTCAAGGTTCAACTAAGGTTGTAGCAGGTGTCAGAATGTCATTCCTTTTTATAGTTGAATAATATTTCATTGTATGTATATAGTACCATGTTTTTGAATATCCATTCATCTGTTGAAGGACACTTGGGGTGTTTCTACGTTTTGGCTCTTGTGAATAATGCCATAATGAACATTGGTGTACAATGATCTGTTTGAGTCCGTTTTCAATTATTTTGGGTATACACTTAGAAGTGGAATTGCTGGGTCATATGACAATTCTGTTTAGTTTTTTGAGGAACCATCAAACTGTTTTTCGCAGAAACACCACCATTTTAAATTCCCATCAGCAGTGAATAAGAATTCCAGCTTTTCTATATCCTTGTCTACACTTATTATATATATTTTAACTGTAGTCATTCTATTCTAGTAGATGTGTGTGCTGTCACATTATACAATAGTTTTGATCTGCATTTCCTAATGACATTTTCCAGTGACGTTGAGCATATTTTCAGGTCCTTTTTGGCCACTTGTGTATCTTCTTGGAGAAATGTCTATTCAAATAATTTGCCTGTTTTAATTGGGTTGTCTGTCTTTTTGTTGTTGTTATAGTTCTTTATATGTACTGGATATTAAATCCTGATCAGATATATGATTTGCAAATATTTTCTCCCAGAGATTGTCTTTTCACTTTCTTGATATTGTCCTTTGATGCATAAAAGTTTTTAATTTTAAAGAAGCCCAATTTATCAAATTTTCTTTTGTTGCTTTTAATTTTGGAGTCACATCTAAGAACCCATTGTTAAGTTTTTCTTGGTTCTGAGCTCTGTAACAGTGGTGTCATTCTGAAAGTAATCATCTGAACTTGCAGTTTTCTTTCAAAGTTGTTTATGAGATTATCTATGTTCTTTCATAGTTCATTCACTTTCATGGCTGTGTATTCCATTATATGAATACACCACCCATAATTTACCCATTCCCCTATTAATGGACATTTGTGGTCTTTCCAGTTATGTTGCCACTATGAATACCCCAAAGTGATTCTTCTGTATACACTCTAAGAACTTACTTTTTTTCAAATGAATTGAAAATTCAATTTTCAAATGAATTGAAAAGATTTTCAAATCTTTTATTGAGTTGCTATTAAAGTTCAGTTGGATAGTACCTGGGATACAGAGGTGCAGACATTTGACAGACACATCAAATTTTTCTCATCTGCCTATTTGGATTAATTACTGGATTATAAATGTTAAGAGCCACTGCCATGGAGTATAGTGTACATTAGTCTGTGGTACAGCTTTAACTATTTTGTGTGATTTCTTGCAAAGAGCAATCAGAGAAGACACAATAAATACAGGTTGGAGAGCTTTTAAGCAATAGGGAGATGTCAACAGGGGGAATGATTGTGAAAAGGAAATGCTTTCTTTAGAGCCCCATTTCAGCCAGGTTGCAAGAATGTTTATAAAGGGTTTGAAATAACTCAAAGAAAAGCTCTTTTCACTGCTGAATACTCTCCAAAACAAAGACGTTTCCTCCCCTAGTCCTGCACAGGCCGGTGATTTCGGGAAACTCTTTGGCAGTTACTGGGGGTCATGATGTGGCCGACCCAAGTTTCTTTGGTGTTTGTAAGAAATAACGCCAGGGGAAACTCAAGCGTGAAGCAAGAGCTTGACTCTTAAAAGGGATGTTTGTGGTTTTGTTACTGGAAAATGCCAGTGACCTGACCAAGGCCAAAGTTGTGTAGACACAGGAATTACAAAATCGAAGGGGGTGGAGTGAGATACTAGGGGCATAAAAGCATCGGCAAGCGCACCGCACAGCACTGTTCATCCAGAGGCAGGACAAAGCAAAGATGAGGTGAGTTCACAGCTCTGCCCATGTCCCCCTCTTTCTCTGGCTCTTTATCTCATCCTTCTTTGCATACATCTTTTATCTACTGACAGCCCAGATATAGGAGTAACCTACAGGAGAGATACAAAAATACAACGAAGGAAATTTAGGCAAATGGGGTAATTATAGTGAATTAAAGGGGTAGTGTGTTAAACCCTCTGCTTTTCTGCATCCATAAAAGATACTGCTTTCAGATACTGCTGTCTCTGCCAGGAGATGTGACTTGCTCTAAGAACATTTTTTTCCTTGAGGTTATGAAGTTTTCATCTTCATAGGAGATGATGGCAGCTCCTATGGTAGGCTTCCTGGCATTTTGAATATATTTATTAGCAGGTTTTTTTTCTTTCCTTTTTATAGTGTATAATAACAAAGACCAATAATGACACATTTGGGTGACACAAGGCACTTAGGTTTTATCAGAAAAGATTTTTTGAAATGTTGAAATAGCAAGACCAAAGATGTGTTAGAAACTTAACACAACCAAGCCCCTTCTGACTGGTTGACATTTGCCAGTGAGATGGTTAACTGGTTAACTGTGGCCTATGCATTGATGCCCACATCCAGTCATGCTGTCAGGAAGTCAGTTATCTTCCTTCCAGGTAACCTTCTGGCATTTGGGGGTTATTGATATACCTTTCCTTGAAGACAAATTATAATCAAATAAGCGAAATAACTATGTATTTTAAACAAAATATTTCAAATCCCTTTTCTTACGGAAACTTTAGAAAAGTAGAGACTGGCATAGTAAATCCCCATTTTCTGTCTTCAAGTTTTTCACGTTTTATTTGCAGGGTCCTTGCAGCCCTTGAGGGGTGCCTAAGGGAAGTTTCTTTTTGCTGGAAAGCTCATGTATTACCAAGTTCACGTTTCCTGAATGCTGCCAGGAATGGCAGCCCACACACCTGTGTGCCTTCCTACCTTGGAGGTTCCTCTCTCCAGCTTATGTAGAATTCCCAGCAGCATAGAGCTTGCTGGACCCGGGTGTACGGGGAAGCTGTAAATGGTGTATGTGAGTGTGTGGGGACAACTTCTGGGTACTAGCACTTCCATAGATCTATTTTCTTTTCTGGCTGCTTAATGGGAGAAAAGTAGGGTGAAAGTATCTGTGCGTACGTGCATGTGTGTGTTTGCGTGTGTGTGGTGAGGCAGGGAGACTAGCTTTGTACTCCTTCCTGTCTTCTCTCTGCAGTGCCCTGGGAGCTGCCGTTGCCCTCCTGCTCTGGGGCCAGCTTTTCGCAGTGGGCACTGGCAATAACAACACAGATAACGCAGGTGGGTTTTTGAACTTGGGCAGGGGTGGTACAGCGCAGCACTGCTGAGTCTGACCCTATCAGATCTATACCCTCTCTTCCGGAATCAAGGTTCCCTCCTTTCATCCCAATCTCTGGTCTTTCAATACCACGAAGAACCTTGGGGAGCCAGCCAGAAACAAGGGGAGATTGCCCTCCCATTGGCTTCCCTTTGGGGCGGGGGGAGTTTGATGTGCAGAGCAGCTTCCTCTCATCTTACTTTTCATGGGTCTCTGGGAGCAATTTCTGAATTACTAACGTCATCTTCCTGTTTTTCTTTGCAGATGACAGCTGCCCAAAGCCCCCCGAGATTGCAAATGGCTATGTGGAGCACTCAGTTCGCTATCAGTGTAAGACCTACTACAGACTGCGCACTGATGGAGACGGTAAGATCTGGACCAGTGTCCCCGCATCCTCCCGTTCCTGGCATTTCCATGATGAACAGGGCCGGGGGGATGACTGGCCAGAAAGTTCACGTTATCCTTGGAGCTAGGAGATTTAGGTTCCAATAAGGGTTTTGCCACCAGGAGCTGTGGCCTTTTGGGCAAATTAACTTTGCTCAGCCTCAAGTTTTGTCTTTTGTTAAGGGGAGGTGATGTCACATACTCTACCCATCTCAGAGTGAGAGCTACGTCTACAAAAGGAGATGTGGCAAAAGAAGAAATGATGGTGATGCCGACATCGCTCTTACTTTAGTGACTGTGTTCCTGCCACTGTTCTAAGTGCTTTATTTGCTCACTTAGTCCTCACAACACCTCTCTACAGAGATGCTATTATTATTTGGTGATGAGGAAATCGAGGCAGAGAGAGGCTGAGTAACTTGCACATTAGTTAGACTGTAAGAGGTAGAGCCAGGATTTGAACCCAGAGTCCTACTCTGTGATGCCTCACCATGATCACGATGGCCACCATGGCCAGTTCTGTCCCGTGGGCTCCACTGGGGCCTCCAGCATGTGGATTGTAGTACAGTGCTCCTTTCTTAGCTTCCTTCTCCTTCTCCTTCTCTAATTCTTCTAATTATCTTCTCTACACAAGGTCCAGATTCAATTTCTCTTTTGGCTCATTTCTTTTGTTTCAGGAGTGTACACCTTGAACAGTGAGAAGCAGTGGAAAAATCAGGCTATTGGAGAGAAACTTCCTGAATGTGAAGCAGGTAGGAAGCTGAGGGCCCTGGGAAGCCGACCAAGGATGGGTATTGAGGGTCCAGTGCTCAGGCAGGCATCCTGGTCGGAATGCCCTAGCGTCACATCCCCCCAGGGTGGCTTCTACTGAGCATATGAGAGCCAAGACGAGGGACCAGGGAGAACCACAAGGTCCAGGCAAAGAGCAGTGAGGTGATTCCCTAGTAAGGGTCACTAAGTATCTTGTTCACCAGGGTCTGCAGGGCACTGACGGCATCTACTGTGTACACTGCGCCCAGAGGGGCAGGAGACCCTGTGTGTAGAGAGCCCGCCCAGAGCGCCCAAGGTTAAGGGTAAAGCTGGCTCCAAGAGGAAATCAAGGGAGGGCATGCCAAAACCCTAATTCAGGGAAGGATGACAGGAGGCTGGCAGTGTATTAGTTCTGTTGCCTGTTACTACAAAGAGCTATTGCTCTCTCCTTTTCCCTCGTGGAACAAGAGCATGCTGCCTACCCTCCTGCTGTTAGTGGTGTGGAAGGACTAACCTGCCTTGAATGAAGTGCAGTACCTATGAAATCTGAGTTGTAGCCGATGGTGCTACAGACCTCTTTTTATTAAGAGGAATGAATTAGCACAGCTCCTTGCCCTTACAATGAATTTCAACGAATTGTGGACATGTCCTTGTTGTGATAAACTGCTGAAATATACATAGCTCTCCAGCCAGGGCTTGAAAATCTCAGGGTTGTTTCTTTTGTGAGTTAGGAAAGTAGGAAATCAAACTCTTAGTGATGGAAACAATTTTTTGAAAAAGGATGAGTTTAAACTGTAAACACTGGAAATGAGAGGACAGATGGTGAGGGCAAAGTATGTAAGTATTCCTGGCTCTGAAGAAATGAACGATGATAGTTTAGACAGCAGTGACAGCCAGTGCGTTCACCCCTCTCGCAGACCGGGAGGCTCTCACGTTTCTGCTCACAATTTCCTTCACAGTGTGCGGAAAGCCCAAGAACCCCGTGAATCAGGTCCAACGGATCCTGGGTGGATCGCTGGATGCCAAAGGCAGCTTTCCCTGGCAGGCTAAGATGGTCTCGCACCATAACCTCACCTCGGGGGCCACATTGATCAGTGAACAATGGCTGCTGACCACGGCTAAAAATCTCTTCCTGGGTCATGAAGATGGTGCAAAAGCAAAAGACATTGCTCCTACCCTAAGACTCTATGTGGGGAAAAATCAGCAGGTGGAGATTGAGAAGGTGGTTCTCCACCCTGACTACTCCAAGATCGACATTGGGCTTATTAAACTCAAGCAGAAGGTGCCCGTTGGTGAGACAGTAATGCCCATCTGCCTGCCTTCAAAAGATTATGCCGAAGTGGGGCGTGTGGGTTACGTGTCTGGCTGGGGGCGAAATACCAACTTTAATTTTACTGAGTTCCTCAAGTACGTCATGCTTGCTGTGGCTGACCAAGACAAATGTGTACAACATTATGAAAAAAGCACGGTGCCCGAGAAGAAAGAACCAAAGAGCCCTGTAGGGGTGCAGCCCATACTGAATGAACACACCTTCTGTGTCGGTCTGTCCAAGTACGAGGAAGACACCTGCTATGGGGATGCTGGCAGTGCCTTTGCTGTTCACGACCTGAATGACGACACTTGGTATGCGGCTGGGATCCTGAGCTTTGATAAGAGCTGTAGTGTGGCTGAGTATGGTGTGTATGTGAAGGTGCCCTCCATCCTGGACTGGGTTCAGAAAACCATAGCCAACAACTAATGCAAGGCTGGCTGGAAGCCCTTGCCTGAGCAAGATTTCACTCTGGGAGAAGGCAAACTAGATGGGAGTGGAGGGGCTACAACATGGTGTGAAACTGATGGATTCCAGCCCTGCATGGCTGAGTCAATCAATAAAGAACTTTCTTCAGACTCATTTCTGTTTTGTCTATTTTTAAAGCCTTGGGCTTATAATCCTTTCATTTATGGTACAGCAGCAGCCAAGTGGCACAGGGTTTACTGGGAGTGTAGCAGGAAACACCTCCAGCCAACTGGAAATCCCTACGGTGATACAAACTGCCTCACTGTGGGAACTCTACGGAGTGCCTCCTGAGGCCGGCCTCAGAAAGGTGGCTGTCTTAGTTTTACAGACAAAGGAAAAGAGACTTATAAGAGAAGTGAAGTGATTTGCTTCAGGTTACACAGCTAGTAAATAGTGAAGCTCAGCCTTGAACCTAGGTCTGTCTGAATACAAACCCTGAGTAATTTTTACTTCACTGAGGAAGACGCTAGCTCAAAGTGGGATGAAAACAAGTGTTTTGACACACACAAGCAGTACTTTATCATTTGCATTCCAACACACCAGCGCTTCAGAAAGACAAATTAAGATAGGGCAAAGGCAGGAGTTCTGGGCTTGCTGGGTCCAAATCACAGCTTGGCCATAAATTGGCCAAGTGCCTTCTGCTCCCCACCCATTGGTTCCCTGGTTTCTTCCATGAGGGGCTTAAACCAGACCACCTCTGAAGTGCCTACCAGCAATGACATTCTGGGACTCAGTAAAGGGTTAGTCATCTGTATGGGATCTGCCTGTTTTAATAACCTTATGAAGAATTCTTGCTCTTCCAGGGTCCCCTGGCACAACCTGCCACCACTTGGGCAAGTTACTGCTTCTTTCAAAACCTCATGGGGCTGTTGGTGCTGACTTTCTAGAATGAGAGAATAGATGCACAGCTGGAGGGCAGTGGACCAGGCAGCACGTGACCTGTTTGGCAGCCACTGACCTTCTTGTCAACAGAAGCCCAATTCTGTGCTGGGCAGCATTGTCACTGCAAGCCCACCCCCTTGCCAGGTGGTTCTTTTCCCAGCTTTTTCTGCAGGGAGAGGTGACCACGCAACCTGGCTCTGACTAATACGGCATAGAAGGAAGGCTGCTGGGTGCTTTTGTGTCCTTCGCTGCTGACACTTCAGGAATAAGGCAAAACAAAACCCTTTCCCCGGCACCTCCATCTTCTCCTCTCCCCGTTTTTATGGTAATCATGACACATGGAACTGCAGCGGCCATGTCAGAATCACGAGGTGGCCCACGCTGGGACGAAGAATGAATATGCTGAGGAGGATAAAAAGAATCTGGCTCCCCGATGATGTCATTGAGCTACTGAGTGGACTCTAGACCTGCCACCCCACAGCCTTCTATGAAAGAATAAAACATCTTCATTGCCTGTCACTGTTAGTTGGATTTTCTGTCACTCACAGGCTAAATCACACAGTATTTGATGTACGGTAAGTGCTTAGATACCAGCAAAAACTCAGAACTTGCATGCATAAAATTCTCATATCTTCCTCCTGATGGCTTTAGGGAATGTTTCTCTGAAGTCTTGATTTGTTTTGTTCCTGCCTTATTGCTTTCCTCGGCACAAGCATTTACTGAGTGCATACTGTATGCCCCATCCTATTTTTGATGCTATGTAAATACGAGTGACTCCTGGATGGGAAAAAAGGCTTCGTAGAGGAGGCAAGGTCTGAACCTTAAAGGAGAATAGGAGGTTCCTCCTGCACTTCAAGGAGAGGGCCCGAGGGGGAAGAAGACCCTGGGGCTGCAGACGACAGCAGGAAGTGTTCAGAGCTACGGAGCGCAGTGTCGCTGAAACCCGGGAGGGCTGGCAAGAGGTGCTGCTGGGGAGGAAGGCAGAGAAGTGAATCCACAAGATGCCAAAGGTTTTCTCGTATTATTTTCCTCCTGAGTGGTGACCAGAAGCCACTTAATACAATCAGGTAATTCTTCAAGAAAACTGGGGTGGCTCATTCTTCAAGAAAACTTAGTGCTGAAGATACTGCTGTAAGAAAAAGGTAAAACTGTATTCCAAGAGGCTTTTAAAAATGTTTGTATGATTTTTCGGTTTCTGGTTATTCTCTTCCATAGATTCTAGAATATAGGTCTAAGTCCTTCACTGGTCCACTAGCTCTAACCTGTTGAAAATTATTGATGGATCTGGAGAGTAGACGTGAGAACTTCATAGCGAAGGCCAGACTGGTGTGAGATTAATGACATCAAATGGCATTTTACACCATGAGAAAGAGAGGCCATATTTTGGCATAAGAAGGTATTCTGGTGATGGGTCAGTGTACTGAAGGCTTATAGCAGAAAAGAGTTTAGAAGAGCTTTCTGTTTGCAAGGGTTCTGGAACTCTTCTCCTGGGAGACCTGTAATAGAAGACCCTTATCTTTGTGAAATGGAAGACTCAGATGGTTTGCATTTGACTCCTGGGAAAACATAGGTTTTTTTCCAAGTAGGAAAAGCAGCCCCTATTCTTTCTAACAATTCTGACATCTCTTTCTAGTCATGAGCCCTTGAAGTACAATTTTCTGTCGCAGGAAGAGGTGGATTCTGATTTCTGGGAGATCTGTTCCTATTGACTAAAGGTACTTAATTTTTTGTTTAGCTCAAATTGGGAGCACAAGCCTCCCTTCTTGGGCAATTTAATAGCACAAAAGCTAGTAAATTTGCAGACAGGACACTGTTTTCAAAGTCCAAGTCAGAAAGGCTCCAAAATAAAACAAACTTGCCTGCTATTGGTGGAGAGTTATTCATTCCAAGAGAAACAGGGACAATTAGGACTAGAGATAAGAAAGCACGAGGAATATAAACATATGAATGGCGCAATGGCACAATGGGCAAGGCTGTGGGTGAGGGAGGGGTGTGTGTTTACACATCTAGGGTAGAAAAGAAGTAAGTATCTTTGGCAATTAACTTTCCACTTTACTTGTGTATCAAATAAACACAGTTAAATGAAATTGTATTAGCCAATGTTGAGGAGAATTCTGTATTATGTTAAGGGTTAAAAAAAACACAATATAAATAGAAGTCAAACCAAACACGCTGGGGAAATTGGTCACAGCTGACTTGGCTGCTCTGAGGTTTGCGGGGAGTGAACACTTGGCTTCCCAGATTCTTACAGTCCTGGCGGGGTCTTCTGCTTGGGGCCAGTATTTTCTGCACAAGTCAAACCTCTCCTCCATAGGGACACCGAGTAAGTTTCCAAAGGACTCCAGGAAAACAGTACAGCTGTGCTCCGGTGCTGCTTCGAGATGTGCCTTTCTCTTCAACTCTGACAGTAGGAATATGCTAAATGTCTTGATAGAGAAGGTCATATTTGGGAATATTCTTGGGATCAATAGGACTTCGGACAATAAGTTTTCCCCTCATGGCTCCTCGATAAATCACTTCAATCAAATCTATGAAGTCTTGTTTGGTTTTGAAACTTCCCACAAACTTAGTGTGATCTGGAGACCTAGATAGCACAGAAGAGAAACAAGCTTGCTCAGAACTGTTAATAATTACTGGCTGGAGACCTTCAGGATAAACAAAACGAACAGTAGCTCCATTACTTTCTTCTGTCAGGGAGGCTTCAGACACAAGGTCCAGCACTGATTTTTCCATTTGTGATTTTGGGCCCCGTTTGACATAGGGCTAAAACCAGTGTGTGAGCCACTGGGACAGCTTCGAAGCCCTAGCATATGAGAAGCTCCTGCTCACCAGATATTTGAAGCACTCATGATCAGGTAGTATTCCCTGAGTGTTGGTGTGGGCATTGTTTTGTTGTTGTTTTTGGCTAGGCACTGCGCAAGGCTCATTAACTGGTCATGGTCTCTCCAAGCTTCAGTCATTTCTACTTTTGAGTAGTGGGCATTAATTTTGTTTGTTTGTTTACTATTTAAAACACGAAGTATGTTTATTTCAAAAATTTTTTAGCAAAAAAAACCCCAAACAAACAGCAGCTGGCCAAGTGGCTCAGTTGGTTAAGAGTGTGAGCTCTGAGCAACAGGGTCGCCGGTTCGATTCCCACATGGGCCAGTGATGCTGAGCCTGAGCTGAGTGCCGCTGAGCTGCCAACAGGTGGCAGGATGGCTTAGCTGGTGAGAGCACCTGCTCCTGACAACAAGGTTGCTGGTTCGACTCCCGCATGGGATGGTGGGCTGTGCTCCCCACAACTAAGATTGAACACGGCACCTTGAGCTGAGCAGCCGTGAGCTGCTGACGGGCGGCTGGATGGTGACTGGACTTGGAGCTGAGCTAGCCGCACCCTCCACAACTAAGATTGAAGGACAACAACTTGGCTGTTCCTCTTCCCCAATTCCCCAACACTGTTCTCCTTCCCCAATTCCTCAATAAAATCTTAAAACAAAACCAAAAACAAAATCACCAGTGAGGCCACATTTAGGTGTATATCCTTCTAATCATATGTCTGTCTGTCTGTCTGTCTGTCTGTATATCGGTGTGTGTTTGTGTGTACATTTCTTTTTTTACAATAATGGGAATCATATCACACATATTATTTTGTAATGTGCTTTTTTTCAACTAACGTATGAATATCCACGCAGCCAACTTTGCTAACTTTCAGGATTATTTTCATTTAGATCAATTCCTGGAAATGCAATTGATGGGTTAAAAATTTTATACACTTTTAAGGTGTTTGGTATGTAGTGTCATAAATCGCCCTCTAAAAAGATTGCACCAAATTAATACTTACATCAACTGTATTCTAGGACAATAAATAGCTTTAGAACACTTAAAACACATATTTTTTGCACTTTCACATTGATAATGACAAAGCAAGTCCACAGGTCTAGACAAGTGGACACCTCAACCACAGTGAAAAATGATAAGAATTATGGATACATTCAAAATAAATATGAAGTACTGGACGCAGTGGAAGGCATTAGAGAGATTTCATGTTACTTATTTTTGACAGACTTTCTTGAAGAATAATTTCAAAATATTTTGAGCAGAAGAAGACAGGAAACTTGGCAAGAGAGGAGCATGTCTTAGTCTGTTGGAAGGAATACTTTTGTAACTGCAACCTACTAGTTCCAAAAGTTTAAGAACAATGACATATTTTGTCTAAACAAAATTCCGGGAAAACTTTTAAGAAAATGGGT